CTCTCTCTCTCTCTCTCTCTCTCTCTCTCTCTCTCTCCTTCCATCCTCCCCTCTCTTTTTCCTTTTCTTTCTCGTTCGTAATAATGCAAGAGAGAAAGAGAGAGACGTTAATTTAATAGCACAGCCACGCATCCGGTTTTTTTCACCACGATCATATATTCTCTTCCTTTGCTCCTCTCTTTCGACACATACATCTAATTTTATATGTGTATAAATATCATAAATCGTTATTAATCATTCTCGAAAGTTACAAAGTTTCAACGAATTCAATAAAGGTAAACACAATGTGGAAAAAACGGGTCGTTTCGTTTCGTTAATTAAAGTAAATGGGTCCAGATAATATAGAACGAAATAGGTAATTAGGCGTATAAGATAAAATAAGAATAGGTAGAAATTGTATGGATATCGAAGTGTACTAAGCTATCATCAAAAATAATATCGGTGTAGAAGAGAGTTAAACTCGATTTCTTGCACCTGTCCTTCGTTATCACGCGTTGGTTATCGTTTTTTTTTTTTTTTTTTTTTTTTTTTACCTTTTTCGTTCCTGAAATTGATCGGCCAAAGGATAAAAATATATATATCGCATCGAGACGAATTTTCTCGGGACGAGCAATTACACGATGAACTTTACCGGATGGAAAGTCCATTTTATTGGTTTACTCGCCCGAAAGATCAAGAAGGAACAGGTGTGAAGGAACGATATTACACCTGCGCGAATAACCGTACATCGGTTCTACTGTCGCAACAATATGCCTTGACGCGAATGCTTCTCTGATGCACCTTTCATTAATCGAACACGCCGCTTTATTTATTCGCGCTGTTCACGACGAGAGAAAAGAAAGGGGGGAAAAGTGATAACACATCTATCTTTGAAAAATATTCCGTCCAAATTTCTCCGTCAATCGATCCCGTAACATGATCGCGGATATTTTCGCCGATGTGCTCTTCAGTAATATTTTTCGATGATGCGATTCGATATCGATACATTTATTCGTGGAGAATGTAAGCCTAACCACGTATACGGCTGCGGGTACCCGGATGGATAAAATTCAGCCTCTTTTTTTCCCAAACGATCAAAGCGTTTACACGTATATCTTTTCAGCTATATACGTTTTAAATATACACGTGTACATGTATCTTTTATGTTCTATTAATTTTCATTTTGGTCTTTCGCAATGAAACAGAATTTTCAACCGTTGATCATATCATCAAAGATCAGTTACAAATTTGAATGCGATTCTATTATACAAATCACATGTATCGATAACTTTTTATTTTAAATTTATTTTTCAAGTAGTTAGAAAAATTTTTTGTTTTTATTAATTTATGCTCAAAAATTATATTGAGAATATTTAAAGAAAAATAATTTGAAACTTGAAGAGCAAGTATAGACGCAAGAAAAACGAATAAATAATATGGTAAGTATAGGAAATGAAAATATGAGAAATCAACGCCATCTCTTAGAGTGATGCAAATGAAATAAAGATAATAAGGATAATAAATAACAGAAAAAAATTTGAGAGTAAAAGTAGTAAGAATGGGAAATCAGCGCCATCTTTTGAACGCGAAAAATATCTCTAAAAGTACTTGAGAGATGGCGCTAATTTTAAATTCCTATTCTATCTTATTCTACTTTCAAAAAGATGGCGCTGATGGCAAATTCTTAGCTCATCTATTATTTTTCGTTATTTGTTCTGTTTCCTATCTATCTTTCTTTTGCAATATATTGGAGACAATTATAATTCACATATTTTTATTTTCTATGTCTTTTTCTTATTATAATCCCTTTTTTCCATATTTCATTTATAAAAAATTAATATGCTCGATAGATAGTTTCGATCTATTCGATTAATTTAAATTTTATCTTTTTTTTTTTTTTTAAATCATTGATTTCGTTATCTGCATTAAATAAATATTAATAATTTATTAACAAATTATTTACAATTTATTAGTAATATAGATTTTAACTTATGAATAATTCAACTCAGATTTACGATTCAATATATACGTATAATATATGAAAATATATATCAAAGAAATTATTTTTGAATAATTTCGTATAATCGATTTTATTAATTTTTGTGACTAAATTAAATAAAATTTATATGTATCTAAATTTTAAAAAATATATATATTCTGATTTTTTGCACGATCATGAAATTATGGAATATGGAATATAAATTAATATATTCTGTATCTTATTTGTATAAAAAAAATATGATATATTCATATTATTTTACATACATGTGTAAAATATATGTATAATTCTATCTTCTATAATAATAGATGAACAATCCAGACAAGAAACAGAATAAACATTATATTTTATGAAACTTTGTATCATAAGAATACCAATCTTAAAAAAGATTAAATGTTTCTTATAGTATCTAACATGATAACTGATGTTATAATCTAAGTACATATATTAAAATTAAATCATTCGAAATAAAAATCTACTTATATATTTTATAATTTTTGGAATTAAAAATTCATTGAAAATATTTGATTGAGAAAATGTTATCCATCACTTTTCTATTTTTCAATCACATTGCGCGTGGTCACAATACCGGTCACAAATGAAATTACATTAGTAGAGTGAATAGAAGAAAACAAATGCGTTCATATTTTCTTTCTTTCTTTTAAAGAAAAAGGATTTATTAAGAAAAATTAAAATACTACTGTTATTTTTAAAACACTTATATTGTAGATGTTTATTAAAATTAATAATATTATGTTAACATCATCTAATGTATTAGAAATATTTGAAAATTTTTACATTTATATAAAAAATACACAATTATTACCATCATCTTGATATTTTCAATAAATATAATAATTATATAAAAATTACATAAAATTATATAGATATTATATATAAATTCAGTAAAAAGAAAATAAAAATAAAAATACTTACATATTTTTTCTTTTTATATAAAAATTTAAGCTTTACCTCTCTTTCGTAAACATATTGAAAATCCTTTTTCGAACTTAATCAGCAATCAGTTATTTATCTGTGCAAAAAAAAATCAAATTTTTAACATAATATATGATTGTAAAATTAAAATAAATAACTTAGCTCAAATTCTATTTTAAAAATTTATGATATAAATAAAAAAATATGAATGGATAGAAAAAAAGAATAAATTATTCTTCAAAGAATTATTAATTACAATGTTTATTCAATAAATAATTGAATAAACAAAATATAGTTTAAAAAATAAAAATATAGAAAATTAAAAACTAATATAAACCATAAGAAATAATTGTATAAATAATTACGGAATAAGTACGATATTTTACTTTATT